CAAACAACCCCAATAAGATTGTGTTTCTCAGATTTTGTGGATTTCAATACCAATTTCAATTTCAATAGTGGAACTTTAATACACTGATAGGAATTGAGAAGTTCTCTGGGTATGACACTTTGTGGACTAGAAAGAAAAAAACCCCAAAAGTTTAGACATCCCAGGTGTCATCAATTCAATCACCAAAATTAGATGGCTGTTATGTAAATTATGCAAATATGAGACTCAACCTCGTCTTTCATATTTGAGGAATGAAATATTTAATGATGTTGACATTTTTAATTATCATCAGGCCTCTGAGTTAACTCCTAAGTGAGATCAGTGTTATTACAGGATCTCTGCAGGCTCTGCTGGACATTTCTGCATCACATCAGACTCTATTGAACATGTGTTAGCTGCGTTTGAAAATCTGAAACAATGGACAATAAAGAAAGAAATTTCCAAAGTCATCAAACTGATAAATTAATAGGCCCCTTGAAAACAGGTCTGATCTTTGACAGTGGTCAAAATCTGACCATATGATGATGAGCATTCTTCCAATATCTTTTCCTGCACCCCAACATTACTTTTGCTGTAAGTTTCAAAAAAGTGTCTGCAAAAACTGCACTATTAGGAAGGAAATTTTATGAGAAAATAAATACCATAACCCTGAACTTTTTAATTTAAATTCATTTATCTGTCTCACATCACTAAACTATATAGTTCCTTAGATTTATTTAGCAGGCAGAAAAGAGTCAAAAGATAGGCCATTCCAAAAATTTAATTTCAGCTCTCTCATTGACATGACTCACAGAAGTTTCCTGATAGCTAAACTTCAGCTTTTCCATCAGCAAAAGAGGGATAACAGTGCTTAACTGAATCACAAAGCCAGTGATAGTATTGCTGTTGTTTGTCCTATTTTGTAAGTAGATGTAATCATCTGTGTTACACAGAACTTTCTGAGAGGAATCTACCTATCTAAATAGAGATCTTAAAATCCTGAGGATTAATTAATTTATGTTTGCATAGTTCTTTGAAGCTGTGTAACACTATATAAATGTTAAATATTATCTACTCCTAGCGATTGACTAGGACTTTCGGTAGGCACTGCGTATCTCAGTGCACACAAGCCCTACAGCCCAAGTCCTGTAAAACTCATAAAATTATTAGTTTCCCTGTTAATATTTTTTCTGTTCTCTTCTCTATCCTTCATATTTTTTTTGCCTAGCCTGCTGAAAGAAAAAAATGCCAGGTAACTACTCATAAAACCATTTCAGCCTGCTACTTTTAATTCATAGAATCTCTCCATCTTAGTTCAAAGTTAAAAAAACCTCAAACCAGTGCAGAATGGCCTGCATGCTCACTGGTGGGGAAGGGACACAGAGTGTGGCAGTGAGCTCCTGTAGGGAGAAAATAGGGATTCATATGGGACAATAGTGTGCTCTTGCATATTTTAGGGAGAATCAACAGGGTGACATTGGACTCATGGAAGTGAGAAGGATAATGTGATTTTTATATGTACACTCTGGTTAGCAGCTAACTGTCTGTCCTACAATTCCTCATCAACAAAAAGAAGATATAGCTACCTTTTGATAATATATATATGCAAATATTCAGTTTATCTTATTCAAACTACAGAATTCTGCAGGAAAGTGCCCAGCAAAATAAGACAGTTGAAATCTTTAGCTGCTACTTCATTAATAGCAATGATTGATTTCACAAACTCTCCAATATATTTTTTTAAAAAATAAATTGTAATTTCCAGTTGCACTGAGCATGGAGAATTAACAGAAAATGCATTATGGTCCGTTAATAGAGTAGACAATGAAATCATCATATTTTAATCCTATTTTTAAGGATTAAGTAATTTATAATGCTCAGGTCACTGAGCACTGAAGACTGTGGGACTATATCTTAAATGTCTACCTCTGTGTTTCTGAGTCTTCAAGTCCAACCTCACGCCCTAAATACATCCTGACTCCTTCTTGAAGTGAGATCTGGGAATTCACCAGCCCTTTCCTCTCCTGATCAGCAGCTCCTTTTCTGGAAGGAATTCTGGGCACAGTTGGAACCTGAGGGTACATTTCCAATAGTGCCAGTCTGGCTGATTAGGAATGAGGGGTTTTCTGTGACACACACCTATCACTGGGTATGGATCTGGCCTTCCATGGTGTTACCTGCTTAGAAACAAGGAGTGAGAATGATTGTCAACTGCATGGCAGTGGCAGAAGCAAAGTTATCACTTAGTGGCCTTGAAACAAGGACTCTCTTGAAAAAGTTCTGTCACACACAGTAATATCAGGCTGGAATTGAAAAAATTGCAAGATTTCCAAGGAAAGTAGAATCAGAGTCCTTTTTATTTCCAGTGGAAAGAGTCTGCACCCAAGTGCAGTTCTCTTTGCTGCAACTTGAACAATTCACAGAAACTCTGCTGCTAATTGTGACATGGGTTTTTGACTCGGGTTTCTTCACAGGGTATGAAATTGTCCTCTGGCACTGTTACCTGTACATATCTAAGAAACTAAGGCAGAGCTCCTTTTTTCTACTAATACTTCTCTCCCTTGGGATCACCTTCTGACACATTGCAGAGACAGATTTCTTGGTTCATCATTTCCTTCCTCTGACAGGAAAAAAAATGTCAGTTTAAAGCTTTACTCTATAAAAGTCTAAAATACCAATGCTTCCTACCCTGGCTGTACAGTGTGCTTCTATCACATCCTTTCAGAAATACACTAAAGTGTGGTTTAATCTCATGGAAACAGGTAATTTGGCCATGGGTGATACAGTGTGAAGGGTATCCTGAAAATTTTGATTGCTCCCCATTTTATTTATCTTGGTGGGGCAGATTAGAGGTTTCACAGATGGCAATCATTCCTCACATTAGCTGTCTAGCAAGGAAGGAATGAAATCTGCTCTATAAACTTGAAGGCCTCCTTATCTGTTGCTGTAACTCAACTTTCTTTTCCCTCTACAAAGTTAAGGGCACCCTAGTGAAATTCCTGAAAGCCAAGTAAAAGAGGAGAAGGACCTTGTGTTCTGCTATAATTCTCAGGGAAATACTCATCACATATCTTATGCATCTCCACTAATATTTGCAGCACTAGGGTCTATTTTAACAACATAAAACTCTTGAATGATGCTGTTTAAGGAACCACTGATAAACACAGACTCAGGCTGAAAAAATGTAACCATTTTCTAAAATATATTGCCCTTATTTAACAGCAAGATTTTTTTTTAAATTAGGGTTTGCATTACTTGCTAAATTTAGTATTTTAGTTAATGAATACATAAAGGAATACTAATGAACAATAACTAGGAAAAAAATATTAATGTCTTTTTCTAGTAAACTGGAGGGAGAGTGTGACATATCAGTAAAAGGCAAGTAGATGTCTGTTCCTTCATTGATATTTGTCCTCATGTAGCCAAAATTAGATTAACTATCCCTTAATTTATTTAAATTAATGACAGATTTTGTACAATAGGGATTTTCATCTTGATGGTTTGTGGGTTTTTTTCCCCCTACATATCCTATTAGTACACCTATTTCAAAATAATCTACCCACATTTGCCAAATCTGCTGTCACTCCATACAAATCTAGCTAGTAAAGCCTAGTGGTAATGTCAATAAACAGCAATGTAATAAAAAATGTGGTCCATAGATTTCTTCTCTATTTAAATCATTTTGACACTTAGTTATCTGTTTTTACAAGTGAGCACTTTATCTACCTTTCTTGTTTTCCTAATATCAGTTGTGAAAGTGAACACTTGCAAATTCCATTTTTGAACAGCAACTTTAACATAGTTTTTATCTGTCCTTCTGAAATTTTTCCTTTAATTTCTTTTTGAATCTGTATTGCACTGTTAAAAAATAATCTTTTTCAGAAAGAACAGTACTGAGTTGATATATCTGCCTTCTTATAATACTCCTAGCTTATAAAACACTGGCCTTGTGATTACTAACTCCTTGAATAACCACATTCAAGTCCAAGGCATTGGAAAGAAACATGAATCATATATCTGACTACAGCATCTGAGTGAGTCAGTGAAAGGCTGACTGGTTTATGACCCAAAGCCCATGGATTCAATAGATGTCTTTCATTTAAATGAGTTTTAGGTCAGATCTACTATGGCTGGACAAACACTGAAAAATCAACAGCATTCTTTAACTGGAGTGAGTAGCCTGCTTAAGATGATGAAGTATCATATATTACATAACTAAAGCTGTAAGAAATGCCTGTGTTCTGTTGCCTGTTTAAACAAAATCAAAGGTACCTTGAAAGAACTCAAGTGGACGAAAAGCTGTCTCAAACTGAGTATGTTAACAGGAAAACTGAAAATATCAGTGTTGCTTTTATCACTGAAGCAGAAATTATGGGGTTTGGGAGGAGATTTTTAACACTTTATCTATACCTCAAGAACATGAACTTTATTGAAAGACTTTTCTGCTTGGTCACAGATATTTTTTATGAATGATTCATGTGTATTTTTTTTACTACATTCTATTTTGCAGCATTAAAGAAAAGCATGGGTGGGAGGTGCAGGGATTAAATCTTTCCAAAAATACCCCTTCTTTTACTTTACCCCCTGCTTTATCTGCAGGCCTTGACTGTTTTGGATATAATTTCTTCCCAGCAATTCCATTCTCCTTGTTCCTTAGCAATGCCTCTGTCCTTGACTGCATTTCTGTCTTGGGATCTGCACTTTTTTATTTTCTGTGGACTAAATGTCTGCTTTGTTCATATTACTTGCTGTTTTAGAATTTTTCTGGGTCAGGAAACCTAGAAGAAATGATAAAACTTTGTCTTTGGGGAAAGCTCTGAATTCTTAGAGCTGACCCTACAATGAGAATATCAAAGTCAGTGACAAACCAAAGGAGTAGAGAAGATATTGTGAAATTGGATAGCTTTGATGGTATAATATAAAAAAGAAAATAGACATTGAACCAAGCACAAAACACTTTCCAAAAACTTAGAAAAATCCAAAACTCTCTGGAACATTGCTGAACTCATCCTTCATATTACTTTATAGTTTTGTAAAACTATAATTCTATTTTTGCTGCAAATTTTTAAGAATGAGGGGGTCTGGATTACTCCTCTGTGCTACCTAACATTGCCCCATGGGAAATCAGTTGAATTTTACCACTGCTGGTGTTATTTTTTACACTAAAAGTGTATGAACCACACTGAACAAAATCTGGAGATAAAAGGCTGTAAAATCTTTTGAGTGTTCTAGAAAGAAATGTCAGAGACATTTTGGAGACATGTCTAGAAAACAATGTCAGAGACAGCAGCATAGCCCGAAGAGCAAGGCCTCACAATTCTTTGCATAAACTCCCATGAAGAGCCCCTCTCTGCAAGGTGAGAAAGATGGGATAAATGCACCCAGGATTAAAGGGAGGACTAAAGAATAATCTGTCAGGAAGAGAAACCTGTTTTCCTAACAGTGTCTGTCCTTACCCAGTTCCTCTCAGAAGCAGCAGGGCCCTGTCTCCCTCAGGCAGCAGCAGTGAGGCTCCAGGTCGGCCTGCAGAGGCTGGAGAACAACAATGGTCAGATCATTAAAGAAATGAACTTGGCAGCGTGATGGAAGGGAGACAATGGGGCTGTTCTGCAGGAGTGGATTCCAGCTCACCAAGACTGAATAACAACCTCAGATCCCAACATGACCCATGGAAACCACAGCTGGAACGAGCTCACTGGAAAAGCAAAGTGCTTGCCAGCAAAAGGGAAGGATCAAGAGGAAAGATGTTCAGATCAAATGCACACTTTTGCTGGAGCAAAGGCAACCAGGACTGACACGATTTCCCCATCAGTGATGCTTGACTGGCTGTGAAAAGAAGCAGCTCCAAGTCTTGCTGTGAGAGAAAAAGAACTCGTAAAGTCCTGCAGCCAGAACGACTGCCAGCCAGATCAGGTGTACTGCTCATGAATTGTGGAGTTGTATTGTTGAGGGAATTGCTGAGGGAATAACAGGTTGAGGAGTTGTATAAACACTGTAATTGCTAATGGGAAAACAGCACAGCACAGCTCAGTATCCATTCAACCCATGGTGTGAGAAGGGGTAAAACTACTCCAGGTTGACTCCAGCCTCTTCCACACATTTCTCATATGCCCTGTTTTAATTCTCCTTGCTATCTAGGAAATGGGGACCGGTAATAACTAGCCACAGGTGAGGAAAAAAGTCCTTTAGGTATGATAAACTCTTCAGAAAATAGGACATTGATAAAAGTAATGAACTGCATTTCATGAGATTTTTTTTTTAATATGGCATAAGAAATATTCATATCCAAATTCTAAAGAGTGAACATCATGGGGTTTTTTGAAAAAAAAAAAGAGTTTTTTCTTGACCTCAGAATTTTAAATTTTCCCTCTAGTATATCTGGGATCATGCACAGAAACCTTTAGGGAATGAACATCCAATAATGGGTAAAAAAACACCCCAAAAACATTTTCCTGAGTCATCTGTCTATTTTTTCTTCTCTTAAAGCTGTGAAAGGGAGATATACTTAGGACTGTGTGCCTTTTACATCCAAATTTTTCCAATTACAGGAAAGCAAATCTGCTTTTAAGCTATCACAGGGAAAATAATTTCCCTCCACAAGATGGCTCCCACAGTGAGAAACTCTAGGCTCTGAAGATTTCTTTTTTTAATTCTTTAAAAACTAATCCCAAATCATATGGTTTAATCTGTCTACTTTTAGCTCCTGAGGATTAATGTTTATAAAAAAAAAAAAAATTGTTTTCTTTTATGCTGCAATTATTCTCTGGTACAGATAGATAACTTTGTTATTGTGATTGCTCACAATATGGGACAAATTTCTCAATGCCTGTTTTGATTATTTTTGCCAACAGTGTATTTTTTTTCTAAAAAATCTAATACAAGTGGTCATTTCATGCCAGGGATGCCTAATAAGAGCTCCCCACTGAAATCAATGAGGAACTATGACTAAAAATCAATGGTTACATATGATCCAAGTTGTTTTATTCTAGAATATTCTATGACAGTCTTTGGGGATACAATAACAAAAAACAATTCTGGGTATTATCATCACAGACACACCATTTTTATGATTTTTCAGTGAGAGAGTTTCATGGAGCTTAACAGATTAAAGGGAAAAGAAAAAACAAGGAAAATATATAAAAACGAATCTGTAGAATTAAAGAGTTTTATGACTGTAAGAGTGTTTACAAGCACCCTACCTGGGAAGTTAATACCCCTTGCTCCTGATGCTCCAAAATAGTGATGTGCATACTCACATTAAAACATTCTCTACAAGCTTGAAACCGAGAGAAGATTGAGCCATGTGGTTTTGTCTTGTTTTGCTGTTGGTTAAGAGCACACACAAATGAAACAGAAATGAACCTTGGTATAAGTGAGCCCTAACATTCTGGTTTTGAGCCTTGAGCAGCACAAACAGATAGGACCAAGTTTTGTGTAATTGTGGCTAATTGCATTTTTTGCATACCAGCAGTACCTGGGGCTTTCTGTCGCTGATAGATCTGCACACAGAAACTGCGCTTGCAATTGTGTCAACATCTGTCTCAAAAGGAGCTGAGAGGCTGAGGATGAAATGCTTGTGTTGTTTATCTGCATCTCACTTAAGCTGAAAGTATATTGAAGTGCCCAGTGCTGGTGAATTTGCACATCAACCAGTGAAATCCATGGTAAGCAGTTACTTTGTTTTTAATCTCAAGAGAATGTTTTATTTTTTCTTCTAATTCTTCGTGAATGGTAACTGTGCAAAATAATTTCTTCCTTTGAGCTTACTGACAGTCACAACACAGCATTCTGGAAAAGATAGTTCCACATAAAAAAAAAATATATATATTTTTTTTTTTGCATTGGTTTAAACAACAAAAAAAAAAAAGTTGCAGGTATTTGTGCCTTTCAAGAGGCAGATATTGAAAGTGGTGGAAGGTCATTTATAAGTTCAGAAGGATTTATGATAAAATGAGTGCGGATGTTTCCTCTGACTCAAGTTACCTTCTATTTAACTGACATATAAATGAGCTTTAATTAACCTGTTTGAAAATGATAGAGAAATAGAGAAAGACCCAGTGCCAATTTAATAACTAATGTCCCTGTTATGCATGCCTGCTGGAAAGCCTGTGGGAGAAAGAAAAAATCACTGGGCATTTTGTAATGTTCACCTTGCAAAGCTTTGTTTCCCCAAGCCTTATGTATTCAAAAATTTGTCATGCAAAAATGATGCAAATCTGTAGTTTACATAGGATGTATAACCATGGTGTTTGGTAGAGCTTGGGGAACTTCCAGCAAAACACAGTTTAATTGGAAAATGCCATTTCATTGAACCTACAATCTTTTGCTCCAGATTTCTACAGCTGAGCAAATATCCAATGCTCTTAACGATGAATCTGACAAGGACATCAGTTTTACTGAAAACTGGAGGGCTTGGGAAGGTTTGTAAAAATCATCAAGTTTTTATGTTATTTTGTTTTGCATTTTTATTTTTCAGTGAGTAGAAAATGTGCATTTTCTCAGTCTGGATATTGGCAGAGGGATCATCTATCACCTGCCTTTCCTGGCTAGCATGGGCCCGCATTTGTAAGTGCTGTGCTCCCCACACAGTAGGGGAAAGTCAGAAAAACCCAAATAACTGGAGAGATAATTAATAATTAATTGGGGGGCTGGATGGAGTGGAGGAAAAGACATATTCTGTTCTTTCACTTTGTATGTTTCAGAGATCAGCTCTTTTAGTATCCCAAAATCTGAGGATGTAAAGGGCAGCAAAGAAATGGGCTGTATCAGACTGATTATCAGAAATATTAATTATATGGAACAGCTAAAGAAATGAACTTTTATTTTTGATTTTGTTCAAGGAGTGTCATTGAAGAAATCCTTACATAAAATTTGTTCCCTGATATCTAATGATGCTGTCAATAAGAAGCCTTTACAAAGCTTAATCTGAAAGGCGTGCAAATTTGCCTTCTGTACTAATACATCTGTCCAGCCATTGGATTCAAATCTAGAGGGAAATTATATGAAGGTTATGTTCTGAGCTGAAAGTGCTATGTGGGAATGAGAGGAAAAAGCTAAGGCAAGATAAAACAATAAATAAATATAAGGCAGTTGAAAGAGTTAAAGTATTACCTATTATGTCATAAGGCACTGTCTTATGTTAAGCACTTTTAGAGCGCAAATATATTTCTCCTGAATCTGTGATACTATTTAAAACTATAAAAAGACTCAGAAAATGAATTCCTGTAAAAAACTTACTTTTTTAGCAAGAAAACAATTTAATTTAAAAAAAAAAACCCAACAAAAAACTCATGGAAATTGTAGTTTATTCATAAATAAAGAAAGCAGAACATTATAGTTGAGAAAGCTACACCTGAAAAATTAATTGTAGTTTATATGGTTTTTACCGACACCTCCTTGGACACCTCAGGCTTCATTACACTAAGACTCCAGGGAAAAGAAGTTCCTGGGTATTCTAGAAAGCACTTAATGAAAAAATAGAGGTCTGTTCCAAGTGTAAAGTGATTTTTTTTAAAAAAATCCATTTCTTAGTGATCTGTACATTTTGCCAAGGAATATGTATCTGAGGTCTTCTGGCTCCTTTTGGATCACTGTCATCTCAGATTCCTAAAGGAAATCTACTTATATGTAGGAAGAGTATACTGAACTGTAGTTTCATGTATTTCTAAATGAAACAGTAGATCTCCTTAAGCCATTCAGGCAGCTCCATCCTTGTGCATGTTAATGACAGTTTTGTTCACTCGGTATTATAGTCCTTCGGGCAATACTTTTAGAGATGGATTAAAAACTTACATGAGACATGGCGCTGGTTTTGGGTGGGGTAGAGCTAATTTTCTTCCCAGTAGCTGATAACTGGCTGTATTTTGGGTTTGTGCTGGAAACAGTGTTGGTAATTCAGGGATGTTTTCATTACTGCTGAGCAGCAATTGCACATTGCCAAGGCCTTTTCTGCTCCTACCTCATCAGCAAGTGGGCTCAGAGAGGGGCACAAGGAGATGGGAGAGAGCAGAGCCAGGACAGGGGACATCAAGGGATATCTCAAACCATGTAGCAACATGCTCAGCATATGAGGCTGGGGGAAGAGGAAGAAGCAGGGTGACCTTCAGAGTGATTTGTGATTCTAAGTCTCCAGCAGATACGAAAGGAATGCTGCTCTCCTGGGGATGGCTGAACACCTGCCTGCCCATGGGAAGTGGGGAGTGAATTCCTTGCTTTGCTTTGCTTGTGTGCAGAGCTTTTGCTTTCCCTATCAAACTGTCTTTATCCCAACCCATGGGTTTTCCAGCTCTTACCCTTCTGATTCTCTCCTCCACCCTGCTTGTGAGGGGGTGAGCAAGAGGCTGGGTGAGGCTGACTGGGGTTAAACCACGAGAGCCCTTTTGGGCACCCAGTGTGGGACAATGGGTTCAAGGCAATGACAGACCCGACTGGGAGGTGCTGGATAGAATCCATAGCTATTTTTGCTGTTCAGCTATTAATGGGCAGCTCCTGTGCTTGCCATGGGGCTCCTTTGCCTGACTGTGAGAGTCTGGTGCTTGTTAGGGGCTGATTTTTGCTTTCACTGCTTGCTGCTGTGCTGTGCTGCTGATCACCCTACTCTGCTGTACTGGGAATGTTTTGCAGTGGCGGCACGTGGCCAGTCCTGCTGTACTGGGCAGGCAGGAACTCCAGTGTGAGCTCCAAAAGTGTGTCCTTTAATAAGAATTTTATGGAGTTATGCTGAATTAGTGAGCTCCACAGAGTACAGAAGATGGCAGGAGTATCTGCTGCAGATCGAGGTCGTCAATTAATTGGGACATGTCTGTGTCTGTACAAACAGGTTCTGATGATGCCCTGAGAAGAGTGAGCTGTTGGGGAGATTCAAAAGTCCTTTATCTGTGGTGATGGCCCTCTGAGACAAATAGCAGAATGTGAGAGAGGAAAAGTGTTTTCTCTCAATTTATGCTCAATTAGAATAAGTTGAAATATATGGGAAGTATAAAACAATTTACTCTGTATTCTCCAGAGATCAATTAACTAGAAATATTGAGAACTTTTATTAAAAAGAGGCATAACAAAGATATCCTATCTCACTACTCTTTCCTTTTCTTGTGAATCGTCTGCACCAAAGATTTAACATGTCCATAATTCCTTCATGAACTTAATGATCTTTTCCCTCATACAGAATGTCACCACATCATACTTTGTTGTTATTAGCCCACTGTGTGCAGATACATTTATATATCTATACACATATATGCATGTCTGTTCACATTTATATATATATATATATATATATTCACACACAAATGACTCCTCAGAATGCCTCCCATAGTGCATTTTTTATAGCTGGATTTATGTGGAGGGAAAAAGAATCACCACTGATTTAAAATACCTTTATCTTGACCTGTAAGTCTCAACTAGATCTACAGAAAGAGTCCTATTTACCTGAAAATATTCTGCTTACCATGCATTTAACCTTGTCAATGTTCTTGTGGAATGCATTAAAGGATTTGAGAGATATTAAGGTTAAAATTTTGTGAAAATCTTGTAATAGTTGTTTGTTTTCATTTTGAGAAAAAATATTCAAAATACATCAAGCTTTGCAGACAAATAATTCAACACCCAAAAGTTAGAAAATAAGTTAGGAGATTCATCAATGGACGTGTACAAAAATATTCCACTATTTTGCTATTTGTTGTAAGCTAGCACATTTTTAGTACAATGTAATAAACATTCATAGTTAACAGCTGACTAAGATAATACTAACAATATACTATATAAATTCTAATTTATCAATTTTTCTATCTCTTTATCTTTTATTCCATTTATTTTTCTTAGGAATAAGGTTTCAAAAATGGAAAATATTTTGAAAATAGTTTCAGAAAAAACAGCAATTTCCACTTATCCAACTTCTTTATTTCCAATTTTGATGTACAGCAGAGAAAATAATAGAAGCCAATCGCTGACAAAGCAAAGTCTAGGTAAATAGAGTTCAGAGCTATAATAATTTGTCAAAGCCACCCCCTGTTTTATTCTCAACAAAGAAAAAGGATTGTATCTGAAGATAACTGGGGAAAAAAATTCAAAAACTTCTGAAATTACTTTTGCTCTATTTATTTATTTATTTACATATTAATTTACAGCAACCTAAGACATACAGAGATGCTTTCACAGAATAAAGGGACCTCAGGAAGTCTCTTGTCCAATCTTGTGCTTATGCCCAAGCAGCTTTGTGGTCAGTTTATGCTGCTCAGGGTTTAATTCAGGTGGAAAACCTCCAGATAAGCTGCCTGCAGCGTCTCAGGGCAGTTGCTCCAATGTTTTATTGTCCTTAGAGGGACGAAAAAAAAATTCTCCTTATATCTGTTTGGAAAAAAATCATCTAAAATTTTATATCTTTCAGTAGATATTGCTATTTTTCACTGATTGATCACAAAAGCAATGAGCATGCAAGCTGACTCTGTTGCAGAACACTTTTTAACTGATTGGTTGTGATTGTACCTGTGTATCCAGAATTCTATGCTTCATGTGCTAATTTTTGAGAGAGCACATCTAGAAATGGCCATGAAAATGTATTTTTGTTACTCCACATAAATAAAAACTGAAGTACAGAAGGAAGTAGACAACTTCTGGAGACACCTTTTCTTGGAGGACAGCTTAAGACCATACAGTATCAGGAGTATAAAGATATTATTATTTATTTATCCTAAGAAATGGATTGCAGCAATTAAAATCTCCTCCAGTGTTGGAACTCCTAATTAAGGACAGCAACCTGGGCAAGTTCAGGCAGTTTTTCTCTCAAAGAATTTGGTGTTAATAGGAAGGAAAACATTCAGAAGGCTGTTATTTTTGACATAGTCTGTTTTTGAAGAATTTGAATTTTTAATGAATTTGAAGAATTTTTCAGGGGAGCCAGGCTGAGGTGATTACTGATAAAATAGTTGCAAAGGAACACTGAGAATGCTGAGCTGTGCTAGATTCCATAAGGAATACATAAGGATGGAACATATGAGAAATTTGTCATTAATTGCAAATGTTACATGTGGAAACTGAAAGACTTTCAATCCATCTCAAGAGGCAAAGCCAGGATTTAATATTTGCTGTGGGGAGGGTGACATTAGCAGCACCTCTCTCGGGTATTGCAGACAAAGAGTTCATATAACTTTGTCCAAAACTGAATGGCAAGATAAGTCTGTAAGAACAAGACACCCCTATTGTGCATTATTTTATAGCATTAAACCTAAGAACTTTTTCTCAGCCTGCAAAAATTTTTTACTCTGGGACTTTCTCAGCCAGTACCTTCATTGGATTTTTCTTCTTTTTCTTCTTTTCACTCAACACCCTATGTTGAGTCCTCAGCATTCGAAACACCAAATGCCAAGGGACATTTCTTCATGTATCACGTGAAAACCTGACTTCTAGTTTGAATTTTAGTGGTCCATGCAAGGATCAGAGGGTTTACATACTGTGGTTTTCTGAATGCAACCTTTAGAATTGGGCCCAAGATCTAAGAAAATCTTCCAAAAGCAAAATGTGATTGCTGTGCTTGAAGCAAACAACACTGTTTTGTTTTTGTGGTTTTTTTTGTTGTTGTTTTGTTACATTTTAGTGATGCTTTTTTAGCTTGGGATGCAGAATATATATTTATCTTGCTCAAAAGTGCCATGTAGCTGATTACTATGCTGTCATGTATTTGACTTTAAAGATCAATTTGCTCTACCATCATCTTAGAAATTGGCCAAAAGACTTTCAATAGGATTTGTATGTGACTTATTTCTATCTGTATCTGATCTTAACAAATTACAAATAAATCCTTTACTTAGAATATATTGTTGTAAAGAGGAGCTGAGATTACCCTGACGTGTTTTCTGTTCAGAAGTGTAAATCAAATCAGCTACTCAGCACTAGGAATTTCAGAAATTGACACACTGTCATCTCCAGGGAAATACATTTTATGGCAGGTTCTCTGACACATGTAAACATTTTGGCTTTATGCCATCATCTAAATAAAGGCATCTTCTGCTGTATTAGATCCCCTACGATATCTAAGAAACCCACAAGAGGCTGGCAAATATCTATATTGGAGCTGTGGAGAACCTTCAGGAGAGTAAAATCTTGAGTCCAGAGACCACACCAAAGGGCATCCCAAAGATGCTAAGTCCTTTTGCTTATGCAAGTAAGGATATTCAGTATGAGATCACAATAAAACACATTTTTGAGTACCTGTCCTTTAAGCAATGACATTTGGACCTCCTGTCCTAGGAGGCTGTGCAGGCAGACAGCATCAAGTCCAAAAATGAATAAAAATTTGAAGGATTACATTCAAGATTATTTTATCTCTAGAAACTTTGATTCACACATTATTTAAGAGCCAGATTTCCCCTTTTGTTTTTTTGGGGTTTTTTTCCCATGCCACAACTTTTTGTCTGTAGGCTCTAGGGACTATTCCATACAATCCTTCATTTTAAAACAGATTACCTGCAGTCTTAGAGCAAAAAATAATATTCTCCTGTTACTAAAGCTCCTTCCTGTTCAGTTAGTTCACATAGGATGTGGACAAATTATTGACATTTAAGTGAAAAATCTATTTAATAAAAGTATATTAATTCAGTGATGCTCAGTGGTTAAGTTAGCCAAATGATTCCAATTAATTTGCCCCTTAATCTGCAATGAAATTGCAAATAAAGAGCTATGCACATAGACAGAAGAAATATTTCCCACTTTCATTCAATATGAAGAAGAAAACTATTAAAAATATATGACCAAATTGATGTTAACTTTAGCATGGTTAAGCAATTTGTGCTGGCCAAACCACAGCTTTAAAAGAAAGGAATTGCTGAGAATCACTAGTCAGTGACATAATTGACTTCTGGTGGCTTCAAAAGACTGTAAACACCTCTAATAGTTTTTGGCAGTTCCAAGGGCATTAATCATGATCAATGTGCAATATTAAATAAGTCTCCTTCAAAATGAATATAAATTCAAACTGTAATTCCATCTCAGCCTTCTGGTGACATGAGGAAACCACTTGAGTTTCACTCTCATGGTTTATGACGTCCCTGGAAGGCTTTGATGGAATTATAGCCTTATTAAGTACAGTTGGGGTACATTATTCCTTAAATTATTGCAACTACAAGTCATTATTCCCCCTAGAAATTAGAACTCGCTGTACTTTCATCAAGCATGTAATCTTGAAGTAAGTTGGGGGGAATTTCAACGTGGGAGGACATCTGCTTTTTAATTTCTGTCACTACTATACATTCACAGCTTGGAAGAGTTGTTAACATCTAATATTAACAGCTCTCAAACTTCTTTGTTTTGCTTTAAGAAACACTATTCACAACAATTTATTTGAGTCACCACTGATGTTTATATCGATTTTACTGGAGATTGCAAATAGATTTTTTAACTTTTTTTTAATATTTATATCTATTTCAGGACTAGCCTGTGTAGTGCAAGGTGAATATTACTGAGCAAGTCTAACTAGGAGGAAGATGAGTGCAAGTTATGTGCTATTTTCTAGTTAAAAGGAATTAAACCATCTGGAAAAATGTGCATGGTGTTTATACAGAATGCTACTAAGACAGGACTTTTTCCTCTTATTGATAGTTTCAGTCATCTCTGCCTTATCAGCTTAGTTAGCTTGGTGTATCTTCTTCTTTCAACAGTTTTCACACTGCTTAGGCAATAAATAGTGGAAAGTATTATTCAGTGCTGCCTATTGAAAAGAAAATATGTTAAAGTCTTTAGTGTAGCACATATATCATTAATCCTGAAGGAGTTAGGGCTTTTATTCTCTTTCTCTTTTTTTTTCTTTTATTTTTTTTTTTTTTCCTTCTTACTTAATATACAACTTTGAGGATTATGTCAGGTTGGAATATTTCTGCACTCTGTTCTCCCATAACTTTTCATACTGTAAAAAATATCCAGTTGTAAAAAAGAAAAGATAAAGTTTATCATTACATTGAATAATTAATATAAAATTTTGTGGGATTATGGAAATATGGAGTCCCCCTTTTAAGTGAGTCTTAGAGAAAAAAGAATCCTGGGTTGCTCAGAGAAGTTAAAAAACATTTATTTGCATCTTCAACAGTGGGTTAGAGAGCTAAAGAAACACTTCGAAGGATATATTTAAATTCTAAGATGTTATAAGTATTTTGGGAGACATTATATTTTTGTAAGTATTGCAGTCTTGTTACATCCATGTAAATACTTCTGCCTTAAAAGCATAT